CCGGGTTTAGGGCTTAGTTTAGGGTTTATAGGGCTTCGGGTTGGGCTGAGGATGCGGGGATCCTGTTTTCCTGCGCATCGGGCACTCGGGTGCCTCTTCATGGCCTTGCTGAGCCCTCAGGGTCCATGTACCCAAAATAGCATGTACTTTGGCCCCAAAGTACCTATATAGCGACTACTTTAAGGCCAAAGTATATACCATTTGGACCCTTAGGGGAGCACCCCCAGAACACCCAAATCATGCCAGGTACCCAGACCGTTAACCTGAACCCAGAGACTCCACTCTTGCTTCATTAAACTTAAGGAATATTTACCTTAAGTCTTATGAGGGGTTCCAATTATATAAGTTAAGGTATATACCTTAAGTCTTGTGAGGGTTCCTATTATAATTTAAGGTCTGTTCCTTATACTAAGGGATCATGGAGTCTCTGGGAAGCCTTAAGTCATACACTCCTACTGTCACCAGGGACCAGGACAAAGGGACATAGACCTACCCACATCCCCCCGGGAGGATCTAAGAAGGGTAGAACCCCTAAGGGTTGCGACCTTTGACTACCTAGGGGCTGGGGGGATCTGCTTTCTGAAAAGGTCCGGGTAGTGGTGGAAGAGCCCATCATCTCCCTCAAGGTGCGTTGCTCACTCGACGCAACACTGAACCATGCACCCTGTCTAAAAAAAGTGTAGAACCTCTTTTCGAACCCTGAAGAAGCCTTATATTGTAGAACACTCTTCAAGGACGGTCCCGTAATCACAACACCTGCAGGGGCCAAGGACCCAAATAAACGGATTTTCGATTGTCCTCGAAATGGTTTGTGGCCCTAAACCCTAAAACCTTTAACCTAAACCCGAAACCCTAAACCCCGCTGCTTCGACCCTTGTCCCTGAGGATCAACATCGCCTGAAATCCTTGTAGCGTATGCAAGCCTGAACCATGTACCAACGAACAGTGTACCCTAAGGGTCCATGTACCCAAATAGTATATACTTTGGCCTTACAGTAGTCCCTATATAGGTACTTTGGGGCCAATGTATATGCTATGTGCGTACATGGACCCTTAGGGGTATATTCTTTAAAACTTTTTGGGCACATGGACCCTTAGGGTAAGTGATCAGACGTTAGAACCCTGCAAGGGTTGGAACAAGGTAGAGAAACCTCGAGAGCCACCTGAGGCAGTGACGCTGAAGGTGACCACATCAGGAGATGTGAAGCAGAGCTCTTCGCCTCAAGTTTCGAGCAGGTCATGAAGTTGGAATTATTTGGGCTTCGTGAGGTTTTCTTTCGCTTATTTCTTGGGGGCTAAATATCTCGCACAAGTGGTTTTTGGGGAAGTTCGTGTTCTTTGGACTAGGGCGAGCAGGATGTGCACACTAGACCCGGACGGCACAGGATCCTGGGTCATGTGCGCATCTGCGTAGGCATGGGGGTTTAGGGTGTAGAGAATGTATAGATTGGGAAGTGTGGAGAGTTTGGGACTGAGGCTTTTAGTAGCCATGCCAGACATCTTAGCTTGTAAGCGTAGGAAGCCTGAACCGATTCCGCAGCTGCGTGCAGCCTTCCGATTCATGCTTCCAGACGAGTCTCGCCCTAGGCCTGAAACCAATGTCACGGTACCCTAAAGCCCTAAACCCTGAACCTAAACCCTAAACCCTAAACCCTACTCCTACTCAGCATCTCGCACCCTCCTAACATGGATTGTCAAGCGGGCCGGACCCACGTGATACCCTCGAAAAGGAGGTCTATAGGGATGTAGGATTCAGGGCTCAGGGTTTAGGGGCTTATAGGGCTTTGGGGATCGAAATTCAGCACTTCCGTCGGATCGGTATGCAAGGGAGGTTTAGGCGTGGTTAGAGGTCGAGATGCTCAGAAAAAAACACAAACCTCAACACGTTTCTAAACCATGAACCGTAACGTCGTTCGCTCCCATTTTTGCTGCAGCATCATGTCTTCAGATGCTTCTGCAGGGCCTCGGAAAGGGAGAACAAGGGATTTACTATAACAGCCTGAATATGGTTTGAAATGGGGCTTGCGGGGTAGACCGCAGCATAGTAGCTATATACCGAAAACAAGGAGCCCTAAGGAACGGTATTGCTAGCCCTTGAGGCCCCTGCGTTAGCCGGAAGCCCTATACTTTATGAACTTTCCGGTTTAGGGCTTAGGGTTTAGGGCTGTCGTGGTGGATCGACCACACTGTGCCTTTAAATCTTCAGCGACCAACGCATTGCGATACATGGCATCTGTCGGATTCTGATTCCAGTACAGCCAGCACACGGACGATGTGTCACCTCCTCCACCATGTAACTCTAAGCGTATACACACATACCCGTCAGTGCTTGTAATCTACCGCTTTGTGCCTAGGTTAAGATGTCCACCCCGTGCTTCCAAACAGAGCTCCGAGTTCGAGAACAATCGCGACGAGGCACTTCATGAGTTACAGTTCCCCAGCTGCCCTAGGATTCCAGCATGGTGGCGGTAGTTGTGGTGGTGATGGTGGCGTCGTGATTCGCTGCGCTGAGGACGTTCCAGGCAGCTCGACGTGACGGATGTTGAAAGTCGCAGAATCTTTATTGCTGGTTCATTAAGGGTCTGTGTAGTTGACACAAGGCTCGGTCAACGTTCGAATTAGAGCCCTTTAATTCTGAACCTTCCTGGTATTCCCCGTGCTTTCGCCATATTTGGGCTTCTCCAGCATACACTCACACAGCCCGTTCGACTCGGTGCCGCTAGCCAGCAAAGGTCGTGTCCCCAAAACCCCCAAGACCCGGAACCCCAAATGAGATCGCAGCCACGGCGCCAGGACACCACCACGGAAGTCGAAGCGGAAAAACAGCAATAGTGCTGCCCTGGCTTGGCGTTGTCTACAGTCGACACTTTTGGGGGCTTCGCGTCTTTTGCCGATAGATCGAGTTATGAAGTTACTGCAGGAAGGAAGCCGAAAGACAAAACAGGTCTCAGACAGTTCAAAGTCAGGAGTGATCTGAAATACTAAAGGTTCGAGTTTTAAATAAGTTCCTAGGCTAAGCGTGCAGTGCTCAGCTTCGGACACAGTCGGCACGGCGATCACTGCGTTCTTCGCCTCACTCTGGGACCGGAGATCAATTCATGGCTTAGCTTCGGTTAAGAGTAGCAGCTAGCCCGTGCATACATATATATATATATATAACATGCAGTACCGTGTGATTGTCTGTGACAAGGTCGGTGGGCTAGTGCAGTTCGCATGCTCTTCCCATCTGTTTTGTTGTGCACCTGCTGGCTGTGGTACCTCGCTGCTTGACAGCAGTGGCTAGCTGCCAACAGCTGGAAGGAACAAAGGTAAACATGGGCTTCACAACACAGCCCATATTTGTTCTCTATCTCTCTCTGCGACTCTCTCTCCCTCATGGTATATTACTGTTCATGGTATATTTTTCTTAAACTAAACCCTGAATCCAGTACACATCCTCGAGCGCTCCTTAGTCAAAGGCCAGGCCGCAAAATGACGCGCCGCATGTCGGCGTGGGCGGTGCAGGCCACGGCCATGCTGCTGCCCCTAGGTGGCGACTTGGGGCTTCTGTTTCGGGCTGGGGGGTTCAGGGTTCGTAGGCTTGAGAATTCAGATAGATGTGTTCCGATCTCGGGGTTAGAATGGATGTGGGGCTTCGGGTTTAGGGTGTAAGGTTCAGGTCTCAACCTTTAGGGCACAGATGCAAACCACATCAACGCACTGCTTGTAACGAGCGACCTCTGCTGTCTACCTATGCATACTTTCATTATCCCTACAGGTCAAGTACATTACAATCTGGGTTCTTGTTAACTTGACGAGTTTCATCTAAACTGCCATAGCAAAGAAATCCCCTTATGTTAACAGGTGCTAAGTTCACAGCATTTGCCTACGTGTGTGTGTGTGTGTGTCCTTCACACTTCTCCTCACTGTTATCCCCATAAAGGTGGACATGGCTGAACACATACGTCTACACAAACAGCCTTTCAGAAGTAACCCGCATATCTACAAGCCAGAGTGATATGCAAGCACGCAGACGAACAAATCTGCACATATCTGTCCATCTATCTATGTATCTATGTATCCATGTATCTACCTGTCTGTCTATCTGTCTATCTGTCTGTCTATCTGTCTATCAACTCTATCTATCTATCTATCTATCTATCTATCTATCTATATTTGTGTATACCTGCATGGGAACAGACTGCAAGAAATGCATTACACCGTTTAGTTTACTACACAAGTTCATCTGTGTCGGGGCAAGGGTGCAAGTCATCGGATTGTACGGTTTTGGGTGGGGGGAGAGGATTCTGAGGCGGGATCAAGACTTGAAACCACCGGAGTTGTCTATCTTCACGGCTTCGATTGGGTGGGTATGCACTGCTAGGGCATGCACCGACAGAGCGGAATGGCTTCTTCTCAAGATCAACAAAGATTAGCAGCCGCGCTTTGTATTCGGTGCCACAGCATGCAAGAATGTCAATGGGAGCTGTGAAATGACAGGTGAACACATGCAGTTACGTAGTGCATACATGCAACATGCATGCATGCATGCATGCATGCATGCATACATGCATACATGCATACATACATACATACATACATACATACATAGATTTACATTTACACTTACATTTACAATTACAAATCAAATCACATTTACATTTACATTTGCTAACATACATACATACATACATGCATACATACATACATACATACATATACATACATTTACATTTACATGGACATGTACATTTACATTTACACATACATACATACATACATACATACATACCTACCTACCTACCTACCTACCTACGTACGTACGTACATACATACATACATACATATTACACATATATCTATATCTATACCTAGGTATGTATGCATTCATACACCCATACATAAATAAGTGCATATATGCACACCCACAAATACATCCATGCATACACGTATGCACGGATGCATGCATACACAAAGTACAACCGGAGCTCCGAACCTGTGAGGTGCTGCTGCCCAGGTACAGCAGCATGCTTCCTGGGAAGCAGGGGCGCGAGTTGAAGCTGGACGGTTTTAGCCCTAAACGCGAACCTCTTCTGGATTTGGGGCTGAGGCTCGAGACTTAAAGTCTGTAATTATTAGGTATGCAGCTTCTAGGGTCTATGATAGTATGAAGATCCAGGAATGCAGGGCTCGGGGTTTCGGATGTGGGGTTCAATTAATGTCGGGGCCTTCATAATTAGAATAGGATTTTGGGGTAAATACTACTACGGCTATAATAAGGAACTCCCCAAAACAATAGTATTGGCAATTATCTAGACTGCTATATTTGGCTCTAGAATCTCGGGACCGCGAGGATGCGAAAATCTGTCCTGTGCGTCAGCAGCTCGCGCATTGTCCGAGCAAGGCGGAAGCCGGCTTTCAAAACGAGGTCCTGATAGATAGTTGAGGGTTTAGGGTTTAAGGTTTAGGGTTTAGGGAGCTGGGCCATGTGTTTCACCTCGCCCTTTCACTTACGGGGTGGCGATAGGCCGTTATGACGCAGGGATACGCAGGGCCAAACCTCAAACCCTGAAAAATTACCTCGAAACTGCACAAACCCTGGCGACTGGATTCCCGGATAATTATCGTACACGGAACACGAGGGCAACAGTAAAACACCTATGTCCAGGGTGTTGGGGTGAGGTGACACCCTAAACCTCAATCCTTGCTGCTTATGCCGCTCACAATCAACCCCTGAACCTGAAGCATGCAGCACTTTTACAACGATTCCAGCAGCTAAAACGGCATCTCCGTCCGAGACAACTAAAACTAAATTAAAGTGCATCCCTATATAGCCTAGCCCATATTCATTACACACCTGAAATCTCGGGACCTTCCTAATCATTCTAGTACAACTCAAAAAGTCGACGCCAAAAAAGCCACTCAGAGCTCTAAGTCGGCCCCTCGCTTCCGAAAGCTCCTCGTACAGTGCGCGCCAGCGCTGAAGGATCTCTTCGTTGAGGCGTAGGGCTACACCTGGTTTGGGATGTGAGTTTGAGCTGTTGCTTTATTTAGGGTTTAGGTTTCGATAGGCTTTTTGGATTTAAACCCTACATGTTAGGCCCGAGAGTCTTAGGGTTAGGGTGTAATCGAGGGTAGTTGGGGGGTGTTAGGGTCTTGGGATTGGGATTGATGCTTCAGGGTTTAGTAGGGATTGGGTTTCGGGTTTAGGGAGCTTCAGGATCTGGGCTCTATAATAAGCCTTTCTTTTTCACCTCCAGGGGCTTTAAGATCTCGACTCGAACCGACTCTTCGGTTTAGGGCCCTAAACCCTAAACTCTGCTTTTAGGCATCAGGATGGAAGGAAGGTCTTCAGACTGTTGGATATCGGGCTTAGATTGCAGGGCTCAGGGGCTCTTACATAGGGCCAACGATCTACCCCGAATCGCGTGCCAAGCTTGTTGTGAGGGTCCAGGCTCTGGGAGACAGTTCGAGGATGACTTTCTGTTGAAGAAGCTGGGGCTTTAGGTTTATTAAAGGAAACTACAGGTGGGGAGTTTAGCAAAAAATGGCTGCTATAAGGCTTCTATAAGGTATATAGACCTTCTATAAGGCTCCAAAAACGGAAGCTACCCACCTGAACATGTCCTAGGGTTCAGGAGGTTGTTAGTGGGGATGCTCTTAGTCCTGCTTTAAAGGATTCGCTGGGGCGTCCAGGGCCTCAAACAACCAACGAACCGTAGAAACTCTGGAGGCTTACAGTCTTCGGGCAAAAATACCGCTGGGGAATTGCATAGACAAATAGTTACAGGGAATAAGACCGAGCTGAAGGAATGAGACTGCTCAAAAGGCAACGAAACATGTGGGAAGATCCTACATTGCATGCCCTGGCTATGGAGTGTTCCCCAGTGGTCTTTACGCACATTCCGGCGATGGAGGTGTTTGCGTAAAGGCTGCATAGCCCTGACAAACTCATCCCCATCAAAACATGTAAAGCAACTCACCAAGCCCCAACCCCATGGCTCAAAGCCTAAACCCAGAAGCCACAACCAAGTGAACGAACCTGAACCCCAAACCCTCTAACCCTCTAACTCTCAACCCTACAGCCTCTAACCCTAAACCCTAAACCCTCTACCCCTAAACCCTATACCTGGGCCCTGAGACCTTAAACAACAAAACCTTACTGTGTTAAGCTCTTACGCGTCGAGGCACCTGACGAGCCAGTCAGCTCAGGCAGCGCGTAGATCTCCCGGCAGGCCTTGGAAGGCCGAGTTTAAAAAGGTTTAGACAACCAACATGAATCCCAGCTAAAACCCTAAGCCCAAAACCCTAAAACCCTAAACCCTAAACCGTTCACAGTTGGGGTAAGCGTGTGTTCGGGGCTTGTACTACATCTGCAGCTCGAGGCTCTGGAGCTGACGCTCTGACGCTGCCTTTGGGTTCAGGACGAGACTCAACGCTTTCAGAGGTTTTTAGGGGTTTGAGGTTTATAAGGTTTAGGGTTTACAGGGTTTAGGGTAGAGGATTTTAGGGTTTAGGGTTTATAGGGTTTAGGGTAGAGGTTTAGGGTTTAGGGTTTCTGGGTTTTAGGGATTTAGGCTGCAGGGCTCTGAACCCTGGCCCCTCAATGCCTGAACCCTCTGAACCCTGCAACCCCATGGGCCTTCCGCCCTAATGAACCTCTGGGGCCTTAATAACCCTGGGCTTAGGGTTTAGGGTTTAGGGCCCTCTGAACCCACAATCCTGAACCCTGAACGCCAAATAACCGCTGAAGCCTTGCAAGCCCTAAGCCCTATGAACCTTAAGCAACATGGCCCCGCAATCCTGAACTTTGGAGCCTAAGCCCTAAACCCTAAATCCTAAACCATAAACCCTAAACCATAAACCCTACACACAAAGCGCCAAGTAGCAAGCGCAGACAACGCCCGACCTTGGGAAGACGATGCTCTGCGTGCGAGGCTTCTTGGGAGTCCTAGAGGCTCCGCAGCTAGCTGTCTGTCCGTCTATCCGGAAATATGTATACAAAACGAATAGTACTCTCTCTCTCTCTCTCTCTCTCTCTCCGTATGTATAAATAAATAAATAAATACATAAATAAATAAATATATATATATACATACATATATATATACATACATATATATATATATATGCATGTGGATGCACACTTCTATACCACAACATATACTCTGCGTGTACAGATCTATTGATCGATTTATAAACATAAATCCACTCAGAAATATACACATGTCTGTGTAGCCCAGCCGCCCCACTCCGCAAAAACGTCGCTGGGGTGGACGTTGAATGACTCCAGTTTCTGCTCGCGCTTCAGCCTGATCCGTGGTTTGTCTTTCTTCGTGGTGGTGGTGGTGGTGGTGGTGGTTCGGTGGCAGTGGCGGCGGCGGCGGTCGTGGTGATCATGTTGGCATGAATGCATGATGACTGCTGACGCAGGTGCCTAATTTATGCGGAATCCTAAACTAGAACAACCTTTTTGACAGGAGCTTCTTAGCGTTTCAATTTTCTCGGAGTCATGATTTTGGGTTTGGGTACGAGAGACCTTGCGTCGCATTAGAGCCGCCCTAGAAGAGGCATTGGCTACAGGGATCTCTGTGGGTAGAAAGGAGAAATATATACAATCCCCGGAGAAGGCTAGGTATCAACAGTTCATGCTTATCTGGGCACCCAAAATATTAGAGGTTCTAGGGATCCGGATAATCAAACCCATTCAGAGTGTAGTATTTGGGATGTCGGAGAGGGTACGTGGACCGTCAAAATATACCTTTCCGGGCACTTCCATTAACTCTGACGTAGGGGCCTTTATGATCACCCTAGGAATAGGGTTTCGGGGTGCATTATGCTATAATTACAGAAAAACATACTATAACTTAAGAGCCCTAATTAAAGGGAATAATGTAAGTCATTCTTCAGGCCCCTATACCCGTTCTCTCACCCCCTTTACGGAAACCCTAAGCCCTAAAGCCCCAACCCTAACCCCTAAACCCCTGAACCCTAAGGCCTAAACCCTCAACCCTAGAGCCTCAAACCCTAAAACCTCAACCCTCAACCCCCTAAGCCCCAAACCCTCAACCTCATAGACTCCACTTGGGGGTTTCCGAAAATAGCGGACCCTCATATAGCACCCTAAAATAGTAGGATCCTTATTATAAGGACCCCAAAATAAGGTACCCCAAAACGGAAAGTCCCACTTCTTGGAGCTTTTGCCTGCTCGCGGCGGCTTGGAAGTTGTGCATGTGGAAGAGCAGCGGCAACTCCTGTTCCTTGGCTGAGGGTTTAGTTAGGGGGCTTCGGGGTTCAGGGGTTCAGGGATTTAGGGGTCTAGGGGTTTAAGGGTTTAAGGGTTCAGGGCTTTGAGGGTTTCGGGGTCTAGGGGTTTCGGGCTTAGGAGTGCGATGTCAAAGGGCGGGTTCGAGCTCCAGGGAGTGGACTGCTTGCTCCCAAGGTGCCCAGAAGTCGAAAAGGCTCTGCTCCTCTCGGAAACGACTTTTGTGGCTTTCAGGTTTAGGGTTCAAGGTACTGCTGATGAGACATAACCTGCATTACCTTAAGGGCCCTAAACTATGGGAATTATGGTATAATCCTTATTATGGATAATGCAGGATTTATACCATCAACCGTATTTAGGGTTTTGGGATTAGTGGGGTCTGGGACTTGAGATCTAGGAGTTTAGAGTTGCAGGTCATACAGCTACTTCATGATGAAACCCATCGAAGTCACCCCCAAAAGCCGTATATAGTAGGGTCTTTGGGCCCGAAAGCCTTAGGATATGAGCCCTTTGAGGGTAAGGGAAAGAGTGTGCTCACAAAACGAGCACCTCAGGCAACATCCGACCTACGAGATCATCCTCTTTCAAGACAAGACATTGGCGAACCAGGTCCGCGCATTAAAGGCTTTTAGTTGTAACTGCTGCCTACATTTGAGAACAGAACCAAATTACGCTCTAAGTGTCGAAACCCAAACCCGAACAGAGACTTCGGGTTTTGGGGCATATTCGAGTATCGTGTAATGGGATTATAAGAGGATACGGGTACTAATCTTTCCGACCATAGGACCAAATTGCTTGAAGCGGTAGTATAGTCTAAACCCTAAACCCTAAAGCCCTAAACCGGTGGGGTATAGTACCATGCGAAGACATACGGGCATGCTATAAGAGGACGTTCTTACTAGATTTCCAAGCCCCAATGTTATGCACTGGATTCCCCAGCCCTAAATAAACCCTGAATCAGGGTTTCGGTTTAGGGCTTAGGGCTTAGGGTTTAGGCGTTTAGGGTTTAGGGTTGAGGGCTTAGGGCCCTAAACCTGCATACTTGCACCCATTTCAAGAATTCAGGCTGCTGCGATACCTTGCTGAGGGCTGGGTGCAACTCCAAACTTTTTGGGTTTCAGAGGAGGAAGTAGAGTGCTTGTTGTGCGTTTTATTCATTGAAGCCCCCCAAAACCGTATAAACTTTATAGGATAAACGCCATAGGTTTCAAGACCCTAGAAACTTGCTTGGCCCATCCTTGCCGTTGTGGATCACGGTGAGATTCCTGCCGTAGTCGTGCTCGCCACGGAGCCAGTGCAGCGGCTGGTGCATGTCCTTCAGAAAGGCCACAGGCTCTAAATAGCCCAAAGTAGGTACTATTTACAGACTTTAGACCCCAAAGTAGGTACTATTTGTATATACTTGGAGCCCTAAGGCAAAGGCCACAGGCTCTAGTGCTGTTTTGGGGTCTAGGGTTAAGGTATCCCTTCATCAATAACCAGGGAATAAACCTTACGTCATATTGAAGACTCTTCTATTGGTGGGTTTAGGGTTTAGGGGTTTAGGGCGGAGGGTAGATTGCTCAATCGCTGGGTTTTGGAGGGGGGCCCACCCCTCCCTTAACGACAAACCCTAATCTCTCGAAACCCCCACCTCCAAACCCCAAACCCCAAAACCCCAAAACCCTAAACGCCTAAACTCTAAACCCTAAACCCCAAGATAAAGTCAAGAGTAAGCCCCAAATCCCCCAGATCCCGAAGGCCCAAAGCCGAAACCCTAAGGCACCGAACCGCTGCAGTGTCCTTATGGTACCAAGAAAAAACCAAAAAAAAAGAGCCCTGAAACCTAAACCCTACAGCATTCTCCGATTTTCCCAACCCCTATAAGCCTAAAAGCCTAAAACCCAAAACTGAAACCCAAAAAAAACAAAAACTGCGAGGGACGAGATGCTCCCAGGAAAATCGCCAGCCACCGCAGCTCATCCTCAGGGGACGTAAGCATTTCCTCAGCTGCGTCTAGACGAGCCTTAAGGGCTTGTAGGTTTCAGGGAAAAACACCTAAAATTGAATTTAAAATTTGAAATGGTACTATCAAGGTTTCAGAATTGATGCTTTATAACTTGATGTCTGATACCACCTGAAAAATTTCAACCCGCTACATGGGCTCACATTTCTGGGTTAATTGGTTTAGCATACTCTCCTGGGTTTGGGGGCCTATCTTGAACCCTATAGCCCTAAGCCATTGAACCCTTTAGCCTAATTCCCGGAAGCCATACAGTAGTAGACCTCACAATTTCGTCCAATCCTTTCTAGACCCTGGGGAACTAAACTTTAAGATATCGAAACCCTAAACCCGAAACCCTAAACCCTTTCTGACTCCAGGAAGGAGTCGGCATAGCCGCTGAGCTCGGGATTTGCCTGCGAGCGCTGCTAGAGCCTAAACCCTAAGCGCCCTAAACCCC